AAGAACCAGTAGATGCGGAGGTACTCGGCGTTAGTGGTATCAGTCATGATCTGAAGCCACTCGCTGTGCGGCGCGCTCCCCGCGGCCGTGTTCGTCGACAAGAAGTATGGGTAGATTCCGTCAGCCGAGCCGCTGGGGGTCACTGCCTGCGGGCCGTACCTCAAGGCCTCCCCGCAGCTGGCCCCGCCCACCACCGCGAAGAGATCTGATGCTGACAGGGCTGTGGCGCAAATCACCAGAGCAAGGAGCCCCCGCAGAGCCGACATTACGACAGGAGAGGTTGACTGGTGTGGGTTTGAGCTCGCGACTGTTGGAGCTCTTGCGCCTGTGTCTACGCAGCGATGATATGGCCAAGAGCTTCCGGGACAGTATGATGGAAGGAATCACCTCTAGAAGAATGCAGGCAGGTCCAGTCCTGATCGGATTGGGGAGAAATGAACAGAGATGAACAAATCCATCAATCAAAACTGAACCGATCTGTACTTTATAATTGACGTTCTTTTGCTGCCGAAGATCAGGGACAAGCGCCAGTCGTGGTGGGCCACCCCTCGGCAGTGTGGCAAACCTGCTGAAGATTCGATTCTGGATTGTACGCTGCTGCTGTCGAGATCTCTGCTTCAGCCAGCCACAATCCCAGGAATCCAATTTCCAGGCCCAGCCAGCATGAGCAGTGGTGCCACTGAGACACACCAGGGCCGGGCGCGCCTCGTGCTCCATTTCGACGTCAATAAAACGATCCTGATGAGCGATGATGCTTCGGGCAGAACCATTGACCAAACCCTAAACTCGCTGCTGACCGAGTGCACGTGGGGTATCGCTGACCTCTCCAAACCTCGCTCGCAACGGCGACTGGAGGATTGGGTCGTCTGCCACGCAACCCCAGCCACGCACCCGCCGCAGCAGGGCGCTTTAAGCCTGGGTGAATATCTGGAGGACCACACGGAAATATCCAAAGCCACACAGCGAAGCGTCAAGCGCGCCTTCACGGACGCGGGCTGCGTTGGCGAACGCTTCCGCCCCCACCTGCGCGAGCTGGACGCGCAGATGCGGCTGGGCGACACGGAGGCCGCAAAGGCACGCGCACAGGGTCTGAGCTACCTGGCCGAGGGGCTCTGGCATATTGTGCCCTCCTTCTTTCGTCTCGTGGAGCACCTGGCCGAGCAGGACGTGCCCTTCTGCCTGCTGTTGCGCACCTTCGGAACGGACATATCCAACGTGTGCGACGAGTTCAACCTTTTCTGCTCCGGCCTGCACCCCGCCTACTCCCCCTCGCGCAAGCTAGACGGCACCGACCCCCGTTCCAAAGACCTGCGCATCCACCTGCCCCAGTGCAGCGGAAGGATGCTGCGTACGGGTGATTCTGCGGCGGATATACACATGGCTCACCTGCAGACAGACACCCTGCAGATCGCATCGGGCGCCCACAAGGTGTACGCAGTTATGATGGAGTGGTTTCGCGAGGGCGAGGGAGGGACGCTGAGCGCAGCAGTGCAGGACCACTTCCAGTGGTGGGCGGACCAAGGAGAGTCGGACACCAGCGGCAAGCTGCTGCTCGTGGAGACGCAAACGCCCCAGCCGGATGTCGCTGCGGCAACGGCAACTACGGACGTCGGATCACGCAACGTGCACGTGTTCTTCGACGATAACATCGAAAGAAATCGAGCGCACATAGTGGACGTGCGCGATGAGAGAACCTTCCTCCCCGTGCCCTTTGCCCAGGCCCGCGGCAGGCATTTGCGCAGAGTGGATCCCTATAGTGCTATAATGGACAGGGAGTACTTCATAAGAGAGGTGCAGGATGTAATGGCGCTGCATGGGTTGTGAGTGGCAGCGTTCCTGAGGCTGTTTTATAGATACTTTTGAACAACAATAGCTATGTTATTTACCATGCATATATGTACATGTGCGTACTCAATACTATATAACCGTAATAGCTATGTTACTGTGAGGTGTGTGACAATAACACAACCGCAAGTGTAAAAACCGTGAAAGTGTAACTTCGGGATGCCGTTGCGGCTTGGATCTCATCACATCATCACGTCTTCATATCACTGCTCCAACTGCGGCTTGAATGCCAGAACAGAGAGGCCACACAACGGCAAACCTCGTCATCCGAAAGAGGAGGAAGGTCAGTCACGACTCGCTTGGATATGGAGGGAACGATGCACTCGGAAAGGTGAGTGAGCGGCCTGCTTAGAGAGCCTGCTCCCTCGCTCCCCTGAACCCGCTCACCACTCTCCATTTGTCCCCTTCGCTCACCACTATTGCTGTCACTCCTTTGTAACCCTAACACAGTCATTTTGTGGTGGACTGGCTGAACTGCGGCGTCTTCGGGCTGATGCTGGGCACCGCGCGCGACTGCGCCAAGGAGCGTGGCGTTAGGCTGCGCTTCAATGAGGGGAGCGTCGAAGAGCAGGTGGAGCTGTCCCTGGTGGGCGTCAAGTTACCTGGGATATGCGATGATGGGAGCGCATACTTCGGCCACGCGCCGGCGCAGCATCGCGAGGCCCCGCAGACGGCACTGTCAACTATCTCCAGCAGGCGCACGGTGAACCAGACCACGCCCTACGGCCGCCCCACGGCTGCGTCGCTGTTCCGCGAGCTGAGCCAGCCCGTGCTGAGTGACCACTATCTGATTGACCCCTACGAGTTCAAAGAGGCGCTGGGACCCCTGCCCGAGTCTGAGCAGCCCTACCGCATCGTGGTGCACCCGCAGGTGGGCCTGGTGTGCGATGTGCACAGCCACCTCTGCCACGCCGAGGTCATCGGACTGCTAGCTGGCCGCTGGGACCCCCTCAAGCGCTGCCTGTACATCCAGGCGCCCTTCCCCTGCGCAGCTACGGAGCGCCTGCACGACCTGGGCCACACAGACGTGGAGCTGGACAGCGAGGCCGAGGTGAAGGTGCGCCGCGCAGTGGACGCCTTGGGTCTGCAGGTGGTGGGTTGGTACCACTCCCACCCCACCTTCAAGCCCAACCCCTCTGTGATGGACATCTTCAACCAGCAGCAGTACCAGCACTACACGCGGGACGAGGCGTCGGGTGTGGAGCCATTCGTGGGCCTCATCGTGTCCACCTACGACCCAGAGCTGCCCTCCCCCCCCGCCAAGCACCAGTGGTTCACAGTCACGGAGTTCGGCCTGGAGGATGCGAAGGACACGCGCTACATGCCGATGCGCATGCAGACTGAGTACTTGGCCTTCGATGCGCAGGCCTTCTGCGGCGAGGTGGAGGCGGGTGTCAGTGGGTTCGTGGACGATGCGGACTACTGTGCGCTGATGGGGGAGGCTCTCGAGGTAGTGGGCTCAAAGGGGAAGGTGGAGAGAGATGCTAACGCAGCAGAGGCTAAAGTAGAGGAGGCAAAAGCAGCAGAGGCAGCAGCAAAGGCGGCAGCAGAGGCAGTAGCGGCAGCAGCAGCACAGGCAGAGGCAGTGGCGGCAGCAGAGGCAAAAGCAGCAGCTGAAGCGGCAGAGGCAGTGGCGGCAGCGGAAGCAGTGGCAGCAGCAGCAGCAGCCGCCGAAGCAGCCGCAGAGGCAGCAGCCGCAGAGGCAGCAGCCGCAGAGGCAGCAGCAGAGGCAGCAGCAGCAGAGGCGAAAGCAGCAGCAGACGCAGCTCTGGCCCTGTCTCTCTCTGGGGAGGGTAGGCGCTCCGGGCGTGCTCCGAAGGCCAAGGAACTGTTCGGCGAGTTCGTCAATCCGGACGAGCTCTCGCACAGGGCGCTGTACGAGAAGATGCCCTCCAAGGCAAAGATCGCAAAGAGCCCCAAGATCCCCAAAGAGGAGAGTATGTTCAAGAAGGATAAGGGGGCGACCCTGGGAACGGAGGATCTCAAGAAGAAGCGTAAAGGAGACACATGCGGGGAAGAGGCGCCGGGACCGCCGGTGAAGAAGGGCAAAGGCAAGAGCGTGGATGCCGATGGGGGGAAGGCTAAGGGGATGGGCGATGGGGTGAAGGCTAAGGGGGTGGATGGGGAGAAGGTGGAAAAGGCCAAAAAGGACAGCGGGTCAGAGGAGGAGGGCAAGAAGGGGAAAGAGGTGAAGGGGAAAGACGACTGCCCGTCTGTGTACACCTCCGTGGTGCTGGCGCTGCAGGACAGAGAGCTGCCGTCCTCTGCGCTGGCCAGGCGCCTGCTCTGCTCAGTCTTGCCCGTCTACCGGGGCCTGCTTCTCTCCCTCCTCAGCCTTGGGTTTTATTACGCCCGCTCTCCCAGGAGGATGGACTTTAAGAAGAAGTGGAAGAGCTACCTGCGCATCGACAAGATCCAGCGCAGCGCGGAGGTGTGGGCGCCCCTGCTAGGCCTTCAGAAAAGCACAGTACGTACAGTAGATGGGGGGGAGGGGGAGCCCAGCTACCGCCTGCTGGACGACGTAACGACCTTCCTCTCCCTGTGCTGGGAAGACTACTCGAAAACCAGACGGCGAAAATAGAGACGTGTCAGATACCGTCCGTGTGTATCGACCCTTGTTTCTCCATATTTCTAGTGACCGACGATTTGTATTCAAAAAACTCTTTTTTGTTTCAGAAATTACATTTTTCAACATCGAAAAAGGCCAAATGGCCGAGCGGTCTAAGGCGCTAGTTTCAGGTACTAGTCTTCGGGCGTGGGTTCGAATCCCACTTTGGTCACTTCTTT